TCTTCCTCAGCGGCTTGAAGTATGTTTTGATGGAAGCGCGCTTCAAGATGTAGCCAATCTTGTCAGTGACTCCTCTAACATATGGCAGTACAGCAGGTACACGCTCGACTGTGGCCGGCTTCACTCGTTCACTGCGACGTAGGCGCGGGACTCGAAGCTTGTTGTCATGCAAAACTTGCTTGACATGGTGGAGCTCTGCAGCCAGGTGTTTACTGTCACAGATCCCTCGTGCTCTCTGAAACAAAGATTTACCCACGGTAGCTAACTGTGAAGGATGGTGGTGAGAATCACCGTTTAAATATCTATCTGTATGGGTCTTTTTTCTATACACACTATGGCTCAAGGTGTTATCAGGATTCCGAATTACTAACACATCTAGAAAAGCTAAGGAATTGTTTGCCTCTAACTACATTGTGAACTGAATTTTAGAATTTATAGAGTTAAGATGGTCTAAAAAATGCAGTTACTTTATCTAAAGGTAGAATTGTGAAAGTGTCGTCTACGTACCGCTTGTAGAAACTTGGATTTATGGGAGAACTAAGCAGGGCTTTCTCCTCAAAGTCTTCCATGAATATGTCGGCGACAATGGGAGATACAGGTGAGCCCATCGCCACACCATCTACTTGCTTGTAGAACTCCTCCTTCCACAATAGGTAGCCAGATGTAAGGCAGTGTCTGAGTAATACTGCATATTCTACGGGCATGTTGTTTTCTTCCAGCCTTTTAGTTACAATTGAGATGCAGTCTTCAACAGGTAAGCATGTAAACAATGACTGCACATCAAAACTGACCATAGTTTCATTGTCTGCCAGATGTAGGTCTTTAATCTCGCTGACAAAATGGTAGGAATCCTTTATGTGTGCTCTTGTATGTCCCCTGAGTGGTGAGAGTATTTTCGCTAAGTGTTGAGCCAAGCTGTAAGTTGGTGAATCGATTTGGCTCACTATGGGACGTAATGGAGCATTGGGCTTGTGTATTTTTGGTAACCCACACAATTTTGGTGATTTGGCGCACGTAGGCATTATCCATTTTACGTCCAGATTTAATTTTTCGGAGTGTTTCTTTATGAGGTCACTAGTTATTTTTAGTGTGCTATTTGTTGGGTCGTTTTTAACCTTTTTTATAAGTACTTACATCCGACAAAAGTTCTTGTATTTTAGAATTATAATCTGACGTATTCATTACTACCGTGGCGTTTCCCTTATCTGCGCGGAGAATCGTAAGTTCGTGTTTATTTCGTAGGTTCTTTAACGCTACAAATTCGTCTTTGGGAAGATTCGGTTTAGGCACTGAACATCGACGTAACATAGACGAGATGTCTTGACGTATCGCCTCCAAATCTTCTTTCCGCATATTGTTTTTAAATAAACAGTCCTCGACACTACAGATAATTTCTGCGTACGGTAATTTGCGGGGTGTAATTGCAAAGTTGAGGCCTTTGGATAAAACCCTAATTGTTGCATCATCCAGTGTTTGTTTTGACAGATTATAGAGCGCGATTAATCTATGATCTGTGTTTGTCAATGGTTGCTTTCGGTTCTGGCATTGATTCAGATGTTTGACATTTGACTTGTTCGTTAATTTTTGATATTTTTCTATATGTTTGTTTTTGCATTCATTATATTTACTAATTTCGCGTTTATTTAATGTTTCCATGCAAAAATTATAGTCAAACGTCGTTAAAACTTTCTTCAATTCACTGGATGATGTGTCTATGGATTTGTTTATGTCATATAGATCGGAGCGTTTTTGTTGGATTACCGTCCGTAACAACTTTTTACTCGCCTGATTTAAGATCTTAGCGCTTCCTCGAATGTCCTTTTTGGTTGATATTTTAACACACGCTGTAAAGCGTTCGAAACGTCGGGTATTTAAAAAGTTAAAATATACGCGATAAATTCCGTAAAAACTAGTATTATTTCAATGTGTAGTGTTCGCGTAAATATAAGAAATCATTATGTAAACCAGTACGGACTGGTAATTGCAAATAAAATACGCCGATTAGAAGATCTAAAGACCAAGCGCGCAAGATATCTAACAACCTTAAATTTCTTGAAGAGATGCCGTGACCATAATCTCATTCCTACGTGTGTTAAAATATCAACCAAAAAGGACATTCGAGGAAGCGCTAAGATCTTAAATCAGGCGAGTAAAAATTTGTTACGGACGGTAATCCAACAAAAACGCTCCGATCTATATGACATAAACAAATCCATAGACACATCATCCAGTGAATTGAAGAAAGTTTTAACGACGTTTGACTATAATTTTTGCATGGAAACATTAAATAAACGCGAAATTAGTAAATATAATGAATGCAAAAACAAACATATAGAAAAATATCAAAAATTAACGAACAAGTCAAATGTCAAACATCTGAATCAATGCCAGAACCGAAAGCAACCATTGATAAACACAGATCATAGATTAATCGCGCTCTATAATCTGTCAAAACAAACACTGGATGATGCAACAATTAGGGTTTTATCCAAAGGCCTCAACTTTGCAATTACACCCCGCAAATTACCGTACGAAGAAATTATCTGTAGTGTCGAGGACTGTTTATTTAAAAACAATATGCGGAAAGAAGATTTGGAGGCGATACGTCAAGACATCTCGTCTATGTTACGTCGATGTTCAGTGCCTAAACCGAATCTTCCCAAAGACGAATTTATAGCGTTAAAGAACCTACGCAATAAACACGAACTTACGATTCTCCGCGCAGATAAGGGAAACGCCACGGTAGTCATGAATACGTCAGATTATAATTCTAAAATACAAGAACTTTTGTCGGATGTAAGTACTTATAAAAAGGTTAAAAACGACCCAACAAATAGCACACTAAAAACAACTAGTGACCTCATAAAGAAACACTCCGAAAAATTAAATCTGGACGTAAAATGGATAATACCTGCGTGCGCACCAAAATTGTATGGGTTACCAAAAATACACAAGCCCAATGCTCCATTACGTCCCATAGTGAGCCAAATCGATTCACCAACTTACAGCTTGGCTCAACACTTAGCGAAAATACTCTCACCACTCAGGGGACATACAAGAGCACACATAAAGGATTCCTACCATTTTGTCAGCGAGATTAAAGACCTACATCTGGCAGACAATGAAACTATGGTCAGTTTTGATGTGCAGTCATTGTTTACATGCTTACCTGTTGAAGACTGCATCTCAATTGTAACTAAAAGGCTGGAAGAAAACAACATGCCCGTAGAATATGCAGTATTACTCAGACACTGCCTTACATCTGGCTACCTATCGTGGAAGGAGGAGTTCTACAAGCAAGTAGATGGTGTGGCGATGGGCTCACCTGTATCTCCCATTGTCACCGACATATTCATGGAAGAGTTTGAGGAGAAAGCCCTGCTTAGTTCTCCCATAAATCCAAGTTTCTACAAGCGGTACGTAGACGACACTATCACAATTCTACCTTTAGATATAGTAACTGCATTTTTAGACCATCTTAACTCTATAAATTCTAAATTTCAGTTCACAATGGAGTTAGAGGCAAACAATTCCTTAGCTTTTCTAGATGTGTTAGTAATTCGGAATCCTGATAACACCTTGAGCCATACTGTGTATAGAAAAAAGACCCATACAGATAGATATTTAAACGGTGATTCTCACCACCATCTTTCACAGTTAGCTACCGTGGGTAAATCTTTGTTTCAGAGAGCACGAGGGATCTGTGACAGTAAACACCTGGCTGCAGAGCTCCACCATGTCAAGCAAGTTTTGCATGACAACAAGCTTCGAGTCCCGCGCCTACGTCACAGTGAACGAGTGAAGCCGGCCACAGTCGAGCGTGTACCTGCTGTACTGCCATATGTTAGAGGAGTCACTGACAAGATTGGCTACATCTTGAAGCGCGCTTCCATCAAAACATACTTCAAGCCGCTGAGGAAGATTGGTCAGTTTTACCATCGGTCAAGTGTAATGTCCCTCTGCAAGATGCAGGAGTGTACAAGCTTGATTGTGAATGTGGTCTCTCCTACATAGGACAAACTAAAAGATCAATAAAAACCCGCGTTAAAGAACATATAGCTGATGTGAAGAATCGACGCTCCGGGAAGTCTGCAGTCTGTGAACACGTACAGGATCGCCCCCGTCACTACATCAGATTTGATAGACCGCAGATCCTCGCTAAAGAACACCGATTCCTTCCAAGGATGATTCGCGAGGCTATTGAAATCAAAAAACATCCTAATTTCAATAGAGAAGATGGCTGGGTGCTACCATCTGCTTGGGATCCTATAATAAATAAAATTAAATCCCAACCCAAGCATACAACTGCAAGACTTCAAGATACCATAAGTTCATACTGCATAGATCGGAACAAAAGTTAAATTTTAATCTATGGTAACCGCGGTTAACTATGACATATGGACGTTGAACATCTCAGTCCTGCCCGTGACCATGAGTGCTGTAAAGCATTCGAAACGTCGGGTATTTAAAAAGTTAAAATATACGCGATAAATTCCGTAAAAACTAGTATTATTTCAAAAAATCTTTAAATTCATTCCTTGAATAAAATTCTTGGTTGTTTTTGTTTCTTTGCAAGTAATTTGTAGAACTCATGGTACAGAATGAGAATTAAGTAACTAATTAAATAACCGCTCGTAGACCGACAACCGATGGGGAAGAAAGTTTCTCAAGTGGCAACATCGTGTGCCGGTAGGCGAAGTGCGGGGCGTTTCCTTGAAGGAGGCCTATGTTAAGCAATGGACTTGTAAAGTGTTGTAATGATTATATTGAAGTGAAATAAAAGCTCTGAACCCAATGCTGGTTACCTATTTGGAAGCCAGCCGGGACCTTTTAGAGACGGACTCAATTCTTTTTGGCGCCGCACTGGCAGTCTGCCTTATTATAGGCGCCAAACTTTCCACGGCCGGATGCACTACTGGACAAAGTAGTGCTATCCCAGCCTGGAGAATAAGAATTGAAGAACGTATCGCAAAGGCTAGGGCCCTCATCGGCAGACTGATATGCTTCAGGTCAGGCAATACCAGGCCAAAGATTGTGCGCACCGTCAGGATGGCGTTTTCAAATGGACAAATGTTAGTTTTTCCCAGCCGGATATAATGCAAAAACTGACGGAGCGCATAGACGACCTGAAGCAAAGAATCGCTGCTTGGGGAAAGCGGATTCGGCGATATACCGAGAGGTCGACACGGTTCAAACAGAATCGTCTCTTCCAGAGTGATCAGAAGAGGCTCTATAAATCATTGGAGCGACCAATGGTAAGTGGAACGGACCCAGAACCAAATCAGGCCGACACGGTCGCATTTTGGCGCAACCTGTGGTCAGAGCTCGTAAACCACAACGAGGGCCCTTGAACGGAAGTTGTGGCGAGTCAGTGTGCGGGTATTACGCCTATGGACCCCATCATCATAACACCGGATGACGTAGCTGAGGCGGTCCGTAGGACCCGCCGAACTGTAAAAGTCCAGGGGTTTGACGGGCTGCATCACTACTGGCTGAAGGGGTTCATGGTGTGTCAGAAGTCGCTCCCAAGCTTCTTCACTACTGGGATCACTCATTTGGTTCCTAAAGATCAAGGGGCCACAGACCCGAGCAAATACCGCCCCATCACGTTTCTACCGACCATATACAAGATACTAACATTCATTTTGAGCGCGTCGCGCGCGCGAATTTTTACTAGGATAATTACGAAATTATTTTTTACTTTACTGATTATCAATTATTTTATCTTTTTATGAAGATAAATCGAGGGGTCTTCTAGGAAACTTCGTCATTAATAATCTTAATGATTAACTAAGCGAAATTATAATCGTCAATCTTTTACTTTATATTTTCAAGATACACAAAAAGTTCTCCAAATGGTTGGATGCGAACTCAATATTTCTTGTGCGGTACGGGCGTTTTTAGGCGTATACCGCCACGTCACGGTCACTTTTGAATGAACTGTTGAAATAGTCAAGTACTTGCTGCTTACTGTTATTTAAAATGCACCGAGATCGTTATTATGATTCATGCTGCAAAAATTTATTGCCATGTCGATGTTAATCACCAATATTATTTTGTGTGTATTCTAATGTTTTTGTCACTGTATATGGCCACTTTACACTATGTTCAGTGTTTTTTTTACACTTTCGTTTAGTTCTTATTATTTTCACTCAAACTTACAGCAGAATAAAAACTATTTTTTAATTGTTATTTTTATGTGCACAACACTGTCACTATAATTTTGGATTTTTATTTACAGTTTTTGATAAAAGAAAGTAAGAATTACAACTGTTTTACAATTTTAAATTATTTTTTATCACGGACCCGACGTTAACATCTCACGCTCGCAACGCGCGATACGAAGAAAATGTGCTTAAAATTAAGTTAAATTTTATGTTACTTTGTTACTTATAAAAAATCTGTTCAGATAAATTGCGTCAAGGGAATCAACTAATTATTCCGAATCTCAGGATTCACTCTTTAATTTTATTTTGTTGTTATAATTAATTTTTATATTTATTATTTTTATAATCACAGATTTTGTTTGCAATATTGTTTTGCTAAAATAACGTAGAATTTATATATAAATAAACTTATACGTCTTGGACTTTATGGAATGACCTGAAGGTGTACTTTGGTGAATGCTTAATTGAAATACTGGTTATGACTAGATGAAAAACTTTTTGAAAACAAAATATAGTTGATGAGAAAAAAATATTAAAGAGTCAGATAAAAAAGACTACTTTTAACGATAGTCCCGAGTACAAATACCTAAAAATTAAAGTTGTATAAAAGTAGATTTCTGATCGATTTAAGATAATTCTGTAAAAGTTTTTTCAATTAACAATAATAAGAACAACTTCAATCTCAATAATAACAACATAGTAAAATTAAAAAAAAAAAACTATTTTCTGTTGTCGATTGAGTATTTTTTTCTACATTTTTTATATATGAGCATTATGAGTTGTGCACTTTTGGATTTTTAAAACTTTTTTTGGCGATTGACATAAAATTATTGGAATATTAGACGTGATAATAATAAGGTTATTTGTAAAAACTTGTGAGTATTTAAAAATATAAAAAATGACGTATATGTTATACGTCATTTTTTATATCCTACGAGAAAATTCATCATTAGGGAAGATTTACGTTCATCACTGGACGTTTGAGAGACCGTAATGAATAAATGATTTTTTATTATAAATTTCTAATTTCTTTTTTTATTAATATTTAATTTTTATAAATTTGTAACAACACACAGGTACACAATATTTTATGCAATATAACACAGAATCTTAACATAGCCTGCATCGTTATATATAGATTGATTGACTGAGTTGTCTAAGACAAATCATTTTAATAATTTATACGATGATAATTTTCCATAAATAAGTACCTACTTTGAAAACTAAATAGTAGCTGCATTTTAACGTTTTCAATGTCAATAATGTTGAAGTATTTGTTGTTGTAAGAATCAAAATGTCATTGCCTCATTTCAAGTAGAATGGATCTCTGGTTCTCTACACTAACCAAACGAATCATCATCATCATCATTCTCTAAGCCATTTCCCATTATCCGGGGTCGGCGCAGTAAATCTTCTTGTTCCATTCCTCTCTATCAGCCGTCATTTCCATACTTACTCCTTTCATTCTCATATCACTCTTCACACAATCGATCCATCTTTTATTCGGCCTTCCTCTGCCCGTGTGTCCCTCCACATTCATATTCAACACTCGTTTTGTGACATGACTTTCATCCCTCCGCATCACATGCCCAAACCATGCCAATCTGCTTCCTCTCACCTTTTATACCACTGGCGCTACTTTCAGGCTTCCTCTTGTATACTCATTCCTTATCTTATCCATCCTTGTCACACCACACATCCATCGTAACATTCTCATTTCATTCGCATGCAGTCTATTTTCATCCTTCTTCTTGACGGCCCAGCATTACTTCCATACATGACAATCAACCAAACGAATCATAGCAGCATTAAGCTGCTATTTAACGCTAGTATTTTGTGAGAGCGTGTTCCTAACTCGTTTGAGCCGACCTATTCCTGCTACTACCATACTTAAGAAATAAATCTAACAAATATTATTGTGATTTTTTATAGAAGAGGAGGCAAAAGGACATGTGGCTCACCTGATGGGATGTGATTATAAGTGATTACCGTTGCATATTAACAACTGCAACAACAGAGGACTTGCAGGTGTGTTGATGGCCTTTCAAAAAGGAGTGAGCTCTCCTAAAGGTCCCTTATTCATATTGGTCCGGAAAATCACCGGTGATAAACTACTCTAATATATCACACAGTGGTGGACTGCCAAGCATCCAGATGGTGTGAATGGTGTAGATAGTGTCGCGAGTTTCGTCGCGATGTTACCATTATCATGACAGCCTAATCAAGTACATCACTGGACATAGGTCTCCCCATAGTTCATGGAGGGGATCCTTGGCATAGTTGCCACGCTTGGTAAGCGGGTTGACAACCGCAGTTTTTTATTTCAGTTTGTTATTAGGGAGACGCTGTTGCCCATCTTCTGATTTTTTCCCTCTGTCGCCTCTTACAACACCCAGGAGAGTATAAGGTAGTGATAGAGTAGATAGGGTTAGTGGATATTCTTTTATCGCCGCTACGCAATGTGCGTTGGTGAAATTTGGTGACTGGAATTAATCCGAACAACTTCTCACAGAACTCCTCGTATTAAATGCGTTATAAAATATAGAGGGATGCAACCTCTATTCACAGCGCTAGTGAATCGACCTTATCTGAAATAACTCGGTTGACGATTTCAACTGCTCTTCGCTGTAAGATATAAGTTAGAACAATATTCCATAAAAGGCCAAACCTGAGCCTTCTAAAGTTGCAAGCGGTGTGCAGGCACGAAATATCACTATAATAATATGCATATATTGACTAAAAATCTTTGAACATTATAAATATTATGTAAATCTGTAATTATATATTTTACGTGGTATATATGTGTTTGTGTTTTCTTTTCATTACTAATTTACCGTGTAGTAGTGGTGTAAGAATAAGCACTATCACATCATTTTCATATCCTTCTGTGGTTGTTGTAAGAGACAACAGAGTGGAGACAAACCAGGAAACCAGGAGATGGGAAGCAGCGTCTTTCTAATAACTACTAAAAATAAACTATGATTGCCAACCAAACGTGACAACTATGGTAAATATTCGCTGTATGATAATCTATTTGAGAGAACTATGTTCAGCAGTGAACTATAATAGGTCGTAACGACGATGATAACTATTAAGTACATTAGTGTATCATTAACTTTAATAATTGAAGATATGCATGTAGTTTTTTTTTAGATCTAAGGAATTTTCAAAATATTGAAAATAAAATAGGAGCGGCCACCTAAACCTAAAATCGGAATAGCAATTGCATTGAAAAACCGAACTTCAATTGCTCAAAGCACTCAAATTGTACGTGACAAGATTACGAATACAGTTCGGTGTATTAACAATGCCGGATTCCGTGTACGGCGTTCTATTCCTTAATGTAATGTTTATGACCCATTAATTTCAAACGGAAGTTATAAATGAACGAATTTTTGTTCTCAAACGTACTCTTTTATAAAGCGTACAGCAGTTTCATCTCAGTTCACAGGATCGTAATAATATAAACAACCACTTAATTTACTAATATAAACAGTCACTTAATTTTAAATGAAACCTTAATTAATATCTTTTTAATTTCCAAGGAACTTCTTGTAAGAGGAACGGGGCTATTGGTAGTGCAAAGTTTATACAACTTTCATCTAAAAACGATTCTATTAAGTTGTTAAATGGAATGTTACTTCTCGAAAGACCATCGCGACTTTTGGTAAAACCGTGCGGCAAATATAAAATATTGGTTGTAGCACTAATATGTTATGAATATGACCACACTCTCATAATCTCATGATATTATACCAGCGTAAAATTGCAGCTTAATGCTGCTGTTTTACGCAGCAATGTAGGGTACCTTTTAGCAGTACATAACGATTCCATTTTAGTCCTCAGAATGAAACTGCGTTACGTTTTTATTTTAAAATATTATAAACATCGCAGTTTATGGGCCAGAATATCCATTTATTAGATCAGATAGACTGTAGTTTCGTGTATCATCCTGTAGCCCTTACTTGTAATATAGGAAATGTTTAAACATTAAAAATAATTATACGTCACACACACACACACACACACACACACACACACACACAATATATATATATATATATATATATATATATATATATATATATATACGTGTGTGTGTGTATATATATAGCTCAGTAATCAAAACATATGATTCTATCGCAACGTTTGGTGAACGTAAGATTATTTTTAATGTTTAAACA